TTTTGCTACGAGAATTCAGAAGTGAAAGAAAGGATGTCAAAGATCGAAAGGTTGCTTACAAGGATTCTTTCAAGACTGCCTAAACCCTCTGAACCTTAGTTTTAAAAGATTTGTTTTGTTCTTTTTTCTGTTATGTGCTCATCTATATTTCTAATTAATGAAATGAATTATTTTGTTTAGTTTATTTTACTTTGTCTTTTTATTTTATTTTTATTGATGAAAAAGGGGGAGAAAAGAGAATATGATTTTCATATATCTAATTCCTGTAATTATAACCCAAATATGTTTCTAACAGTTTAAACTTGGTAAAAATTCTGGGAACTTTGAAAAAATTCATCATTATGACCAAGTGTTTCAGGTTAACCAAGCATACACAAGTTATGATTAAGACTTTGCTAGGTTCTGAGAACTAGGCTCTGAGAACTAGGTTTTGAGAACTAGACTCTGAACAAGCTCATCAAACGCTCTGAACAACTATTCTAATACCCATGACCTTGTTCTGATACCACTTCATTATTCTTTGCTTTGAAGCTCAAACGAAAATTCTAGAAGAATGCATATATACCCAAGTTGTTGCTATTTGGGATATTGCTTCATCATTACAACCAGGCTACTGTCATACTGGAAGATAGTGATCAGACTTCTGTTTGAAAAGAAAGTTGTAATAAACTGGCTTATGCCACAAGGATTCTTTCATGTTGAATTGTAAGAGTTTATGTGTGAAAAAATTATTTTAGAGTATTGAATTCAGGGGGAGCTTGCAAACCTAACTCTGATATTCTAAGATGAAAAATAATGTTTAACAATATAAAATTCAGGGGGAGCTTACAAACCTCACTTTGAAAATTTTCATGTGATTAAATTGTGTAAAATTGTTCATCAAAATACATGGTTTTCTCATCATCAAAAAAGGAGAGATTGTGAGAATAAGTTTTGGTTCTTCATTTGGCCTTTAGTTTTGATGATAACAATACGGTGATTAATAGAAAAAAATTTATACACTAATGATTTTCTTTGTCAAGTGTGTAGCTTTTGCTAAACAGGTGTTGACTCTGAAGCTCTGACGTGTGACGTCATCAGATTCTGGAATCAAGACGCTCTGACTCTAATGAAATACAAGTATTCATAAGATGCTTTCAAGTTAGAAAAAGCTCATAGACAATGGTTCTGAAGAACGTTCCTGCTCAAAATTCTGACTCTGGTTGCGATTGAAGAGCATCTGAAGGAGTGGCTCCTTTCAAGACTCTGAGCTCATGCTGAAGATTCTAAATAACAAAGTGCTGAAGACTTTGAAGACCAGATTTTGAAGAACAATGTCAAAACTCTAAAGACTTTAGTTCTGAAGACCTTCATCAGACCCTTGAGTCTTCTAGACATGCTTCAACAATGTTACTCCAGAAGCCTCTGAAGAATTAGAAGATCATATCAAGTTGTTACATGAGATACATAGTACACAATACAAGATCAAAAAGTTCCTTCCACTACGTGGATTTCATGGAGTGAGGACATTTGTTATGTATGATTTTGTCTCCCACCATTGAAGACGATTATTCAAGGCGTCAGCACACACCTAAAGATTCTCATTCTACCCTCCAAAGATCTTTCTTTGGCTATATAAGGTAGACTTGAAAGACTGGTTCATGTGACTACTTTGAACATATTCATACGATATTCAACACCTTCACGCCGCTTTAATTTTCTCTGATATTATTGTGAATATTGTATAAACACACAAAACTTTTGTTCATATTGTGTGATTGAGACATTGTACCTAAACTTTGTGTTATTAGCTGACTAGAAGAAATCTTGTAAACACGGTCTATAAACCTCAAATTTGTGTGAGTGATTACCTTTAGTGACTAGGGTTTAATCTGTATACTCAAGAAGACAAGGACAATTGTCTTTGTGGTGTCTGTAATCTGTTTGATTATAGTGGATTAAATCTTTTTGATAAAACAAAATCACCTTGGCGGGTGGACTGGGGGTAGTTTCATTAACATTGAACCAGGATAAAAATAACTTGTTATTTTTATTATTCTTATTCTTGTTAATTTGATTGATTTTGAAAAGGCTTTGATTTTTAGAAACCCAATTCAAACCTCATTTTCTTGTGTTTCTCGTAACCTTCAGTACCTTTGGTAAGTCTGTAAACCTCAAATTTGTTTGAATGATTACCTTGAGTGACTAGAGTTTAGTCTTTGTATACTCGAGAAGATAAGGACAATTGTCTCTGTGGTTTCTGTAATCTGTTTGATTATAGTGGATTAAGTCTTTTTTGATAAAATAGAATCACATTGGCGGGTGAATTGGAGGTAGCTTCATTAACATCGAACAGGATAAAAATAACTTGTTATTTTTATTATTCTTATTCTTGTTAATTTAATTGATTTTGAAAAAGCTTTGATTTTTAAAAACCTAATTCAAACCACATTTTCTTGTGTTTCTCGTAACCTTCAGTATCTTTGGTAAGCCCGAAATCATACCATTCCTCTGCATAAAACTGAGATCTCTAAAGTTGAGATGCCCAAGCCTATAGTGCCAAATTAATTCCTTTCTACTAGAAGTTGTTACCAAGCGCATATGCTCTATCACATTGAGCATAATTTTGAAGGTTCTATTCTTTGATATAGGAGTCTTTTGAATCAAATTAACTCTTTAATTTAAAACTCTCAACACTTATTGTCTTCCATGGGAATATTGTAACTCTTTTCAAGCATTTGGTTTATGCTTAAAAGATTGTACTTGATTCCAAGAATGTATAACATATCTAAGATTAGAGAATGTTCACTATTCTTTCTTCTAATTGATACATCAATAATCCCTTTTGTTATTAGTGTGTTATCATCTACAAATTTTACCCTATTATTTATGGTTTAATTGATCTTTGTAAATCAATCCTTCCTTCAGTTATGTGAGTTGAGCACCCTGAGTCAAGATACCATTTATCAATGCATTCAACATCTTCTTTGGTGGTTACAAGCACATTTTCTTCATCTGATAATTGAATATAGGATTTATGTATTTGACTACAATATGCTTGTTTTCAACTACCACTTCTTTTAGCAACAGTCACCATTAACATTAATAGGGTGTTTTCATCATCATTTTCTTGCTTAGCAAGTTGTGCTTCATATTCTTGTGGGTCTTTCTTATTCTCATAACATTGATCAACATAATGCCAAGACTTTTAACAATTGTAGCATTGAACATTGATCTTGTCAGGTTTCTTCTTACCACCTATTTCTTTATAACTTCCACCACCTCTATAGCCATTATTAGATCCACCACGATTGTTGTTACTATTTTTATCCTTTTGAGATGTTGCTTTGCTGAAATTTTAAGAATCCCTACCACCATTCCCGTAATAGTTTCCTCTGTCTCTATTCCCACACAACTTTCCCTTTCCTCTATTGTCTTTGTTCAATTGTGTTTGTAGTACAACCTCTACTTTTTCCTTATCAATGATTCTCTCATCCATCCTTTGTTCATGTGCTTTGAGAGAGGTCTACAACTCTTTTTTGCTCATCCTCGAGAGATCTTTAGACTCTTCAATTTTCACAATCACATTATCAAATCTTGATGTTAAAGATCTCTACATTTTCCCAACCACATTACGTTCACTAATTGATTCTCCACATGTTCTGATGTGATTCGCCAATCTTGTGATTCACCAATCTTGTGATTCTTATTACATATTGACTAATGTTTTCTTTCTCCTCCATATGAATCCATTCCAATTGCATTGTGTTAGTTTGTAACCTCATCACAATTTCCTTCTCTGCTTCTGCATACAGTTTCTCAAGACTTTCTCGTGCTTGCTTTAAAGATTCACAACCTCCAGCCTTCTCAAAATTATTTGCATCAACACATTATACAAAGTTTTGTAATCCTTTATTTTCTCTTCCTTATGTGCAACCTTTTGTACAACAATTGCATACGTTTCAATTGGCGTCACATTATTCTTAATCACTTCAAGAACATTTTAATAACCAAACACCACATCCATCTATTTGCACCACTTGTCATATTTCTTCCATCAAGAATTGGAAGGTATGCAAAAATTCTTTCATGTAAGATTGATGTCATAATTCACTAGGCTAATGAATCAGACTCTTGATGTCAAATATTAAAACAAAAAACACAATAACACACTTGGATAATGGAGAGAGAAAGAGAGAGAAAAAATATGATTGAATGAGAGAGAGAGAGTCAAATATAAAAATCAATGGAGGGAGAAAAAACCAATAAATAGTCCATCAAAGTCATATTTAATTCAATCATGTTCTTCATGCGCACAAAAGTGAACTTTTTAAAAATAATAATGCTAACTTGTACCCTTAAAAAATCCACTTTTAGTAAAGTTGTATTAAAAAAAACAATTTAAAAATTAACTTTATACTTTAATTAAAATTTGTACACAATTTCCAAAATAATATTTTTTTAATTTAGTTCTTAACTTGTGGCCCAAATACACAAGTTAGCATTATCCTTTTAAAAATTCAACAATAGAAACAACAAATAGCTAAAGGATGATCAAATCAAACTCTAAATATCATATTAATAATAGAGATAACAAACTAAGATTTAAGATTTGAATAATACGAATATCATAACTTATTCAAATCAGAATTACAAAGAAAAAATATATAATAAAACATAAACTACTCAAAACCCAACTATAAGAAAATACCCGCTACATACCATGGTGATATACCTGACAAATAAAATTGAATATTTGCATCAAAGCATAAATCCTTATCACAGCATCGATTATCACCTCATTTATGATTTAGTATCACTAGTATGGGTACAAAAAACTAACTGAAAATTAAAAAATCTAGAGTGAAAGTGTCGTAATAATCAATACTGGTTATTATTCTTAAATGCAACTTAGGGATAATTTTACAACTTGTGAAATCAAGATCCCATTGAGACCGGGAAAATCATCGCCTCCCACAGCCATTTACTTGCAGAAAGAGGCAATATATTTTATGAGGTATTCAATTTGTTAAGCTGAATGGTTTGTATTTCTGCAGGTCAATCCAGACACCAACCAATGAGCCAAGACCAGCCACAATAGATACTATGAGGCAGAAAATATTCGTTATTTCCAGACAAATCCATTTTCTACTCCATTTTGGGATCTTCTTCTGTATGATATACATCTCCACGGGAAAGTAAACAGTTAAAGGCCAAAATCCCAATGCTCCAATTACTCCCAAAACGTCATTGAAAAAAGGAATCAACATTGCAATAAATGTGGCAATGATAACAAAAATTGTCCGCCAAACTAACATAAATATGTTTTGATTGTAGACTGGCAAACCGGGAACTTTAACTTTGAATCCTTTGTCAATTTTGGGCCATTTTTTTCCCGCCTCTTTCTCAACGAAGGCAAAGAGGGGTTGGGCATACACCTGGTATGCTCCGAAAAGGTGAACTACAATAGCAGCATTAGCCATATCTACAATAATATATGCTTTCGAGACACCAAACCCGGCGAGCAGGTTACCTGGTACAGCATCTCCAAAAGCAGCATAGCCCATGCAGCCACAGAGCAAATAAAATGTTGTGGTTACTCCAATACTTAGCTTTGCAGCCTTCTTCATTGCTTTTCTTTCCGACGGTGGAGATCTGATGGTGTCCTGTGTATTCAGATTAAACACTAATCAGTTTGAATAAAGCTTCTTACACATTTGTATACTCACATCCCTTCACACCAAATTATGTGCTGAAATAGTTGTGCAAAAAACTAGATGTAATCAGTTGTAGTTAGATACTCTTATGTACCTTAAGAACCGGCCATCTAAAACAGAATGTAAACAGCTGGCTAGATACTCTTCTTAAATTAAAAATTATTTTCAATTTCCTACTAATACATTTATGTTCCTTGACTATTTAATGTTACATTGGTAAATTCTGATTATCAATAACTAGGTGAAAAAAAAAAAGATAGGCTTAAATAATTTTTTAGTCCCTCTAAGCTGACGTGTTTTTCATTTTCGTCCTGTATTTTTTTTTTAAATAATCCTTGAATGTTAAAATTGGTTTTAGTCCCTAAATTAAAATCCGCAGAAAAATCTACAGAAAACTTGTGGATATTTCTGTAGATTTTAACTTTAGGAACTAAAACTAAATGAAATTCAATATTTAAGAACTTTATCTAGAAAAAAAAATAGAAAAAACAAAAATACAACAATTTATAGAGGCTAAAAGACTATTTAAACTATAAAAATATAATTGATAAAATAGTAATCAATGTTATTTTTAACTTCTGAAACGAAAAATAAATAATAATAATTTTGTTTCCTTATAAAAAAACACCTTAAAAAGAAACGAAGGTAGAAATAAAAACATTTTATATATGAGGGGATCTGTGTGCTTGTAGCATAAGTATTATAAAGGGGTACGTTGAAGTCTCATGAACTTTGTCATGGTAAAATTTTGTACTAGTATACTCTCTAGATATAGATATTAAAACTTAAAGGATTGTTATTCCTACACCAAAAGGATACACCGTATAGCTACACCTTCTAAAATATAGCTATGGCATGTGTTTATTTGTATTATAAAAGTAAGAAATGATTATTAAATATAATAAAAAAAACAAAACCATATCAAAATACGGTGTAAGTTGTAACATGTGGTGTAAGCGTATCATTTCTCTAAAACTTAACATGACTTGGCACATGATGCTATTGTTTCTTTAAACGTGTACCTGAATTTCCAGGAGAATGAAAGAATATGAATACGCAAAGGCGATATTTCCAAGAGCTTGGAAAACCCCCCATACTTTTTGGGCCGGGGTCACTGTCCCGATGCTTATTCCCGTGAGGCTACCCATGATAGTACCCGTTTCTATATTGAATAAAATATGCGAAAATGTTAAGAGCCAATTTATTTATAGCTAAATTACAAAAATCTATCATGATACAAAATTCAACTACTTCAACCCTTGAACTTATAAACTGCATAGGTTTTTTTGCAAGTGATCTGATAGGTTCTGTAACGCATTAGTCACACATTTTAAACCATAAGAGATTTTCTGCAGTAACTATAATTCAAGGGGTACCGATAAAACAACAGCCAAAAAATAAGTGAAAACCTTTATCAAAAAATTGAAGTAGGTATATAACCTGCAACTTTTGAAATTCCAAGAGCGAGACAAATTGTAGAATAGAAGAACGACATGGCTGCTGCAACTATTGAGAGCCACCACGTATTATGAAAATCTGGAATTTGAGAAAAGAAAAGTTGTGCCACACCAAAAGCTATCATGTATGCGTTGCCCGATATGTGACATGAGTCTTCTCCACGAGAGTAATGGACACAGTAAGACTTTCTGATTTCCCTGTCAACAAAAAATAAACCGCCAAAGTCAAACAACACAAACCATTCAATGATCATCAACCAAACTATATAATCATATTCAGTAGAAAGAAACATTGTGAAGTGACAATGAAATACAACTACTGTGCATGTCAGTTATGTGGTAAAATTTATACATGCCATAGTAAAAGACAACTGCCATCAACAGAATTAATATAATCTAGCTCGGTTGATTGGAATATATTGAAGTGTGATCTAAATTGATCTTAAATTACTTTAAAGATGCATTCAAATTGATTTTATGTTAATAAGTATATTTTGTTAACTTCACTAAAAATTGTAAAAATGGCTTGATCGATGTGAACAAAATAAAATCCACTGTGTGTGTGTGCGGTCTAGTGGTGGAGACTTGAGTCTTGAAAGTGTGCTCCTCTCAAGGTTTCAAGTTCGAATCCCACTAGGTGCAATTTGCGTATAAAAAAATTAAAATCCATTTGAATCTTACTGAACACAACATTAGAGAAAAAATAATTTGAAATTCATGTTATTTTATTTTTATAAATTTGTAATTATACTATATACAAATGAAAACAATTTATAAACTACGTGATTTCAATAACATAATATGGCTTAACTCACATCATGCTCATGGCAGCCGCTATATTGTATCCTATTGCACTTCCAAAAAGATTCAAGTACTGAACTATCCCACAAATCTTAACACTGGGACCGCCTGCAAAACACATTATAATGCATATTATGGTGTGCATCTCACTTATATGTACTGTCATTATATTGCGCGTGTGTGTGTGTGTGTGAGTATGAGTATGGTGGCCAAATATACACAAAAATGTTAACTCACATGACATTTAAAAAAAAAAAAAAAAAAGCTACAAGTGTAGAAACTTGGGATAGTAATTTAAAGTTTAAATAAAATTATTATGAGCCCGGTTTCTAAAAACAAACTGTCATATGGTGCTATTCCCATGATAATGTGTAATGTGTTACCAAGAATATTGTGAACTACATCCATGAAAGTATAGTTTCTCTTTCCAAATTCAGTGTCGCCACAACAGTAATTTAAAGTTTAAATAAAATTATTATGAGCCCGGTTTCTAAAAACAAACTGTCATATGGTGCTATTCCCAGGATAATGTGTAATGTGTTACCAAGAATATTGTGAACTGCATCCATGAAAGTATAGTTTCTCTTTCCAAATTCAGTGTCGCCACAACGATAACAATCAGCGAGAAATGATGAAGTATACAGAGTGATGATACTGAAAAAAATCATGGTTGCAGGACCAGCAATCCAACCCATCTGAGCTATGGACCAGGCTAAGGAGAGCACTCCAGATCCTATCACACCTGTTATTATGTGGGAGCATGTAGTCCAAACAGTTCCTGACTCATATTAAGACATCAAATATCACATTAATCATCCAATCAAGGAAACAAAGGTAATGTACAACAAAGTATATAATGTACATTAACGTATACCTGTTCGTTTAACATGGCCATCGTCGTCATAGCATTTGGAGTCAGTTTGCAAATGTTCGCCATCTATGGCGTCCTCGATGCCACCGGTATCTCCACGGTAGCTAAGGTTTGTTCCGGAAATGTTTTCTACCATCTTTTACGGATCTACCGCAGGACAACTATAAGTGAGAAATCATTATCAAAATAAAAATCTTATTTCGTCCACTCCAACTACTGAATGCATTCACAAACCACAAATAAAGTATAAAGCATGCACAAATGAAAGAGGCTGGCTCAATTAAATACATTAGCTGTGTAATATTGGAATAGACTGGTTATTGGGTGAAAAAATAAATTTCTCAGAGCTTGCTTAATTTTATAAGAATGGAAACCTTATGGGAAAGTTCAAGTTAAAAAACCTAAGTGGCAAAAATTATGGCATAGCTTACGGGATATTTTCTTCAAGCTCAACTACTTTTCATAAGAATGAAATATGGACTGACTGAACTAATAGCATTCAAAAATCAAAACCACCAACAAGTTAAAACTCAGAATTCCCCAGACTGAAATGAAAACAAAAACTAGGTTAAAAGCGGTAATCAATGAACAAGTAGAAAAAACAGTGTGTACTACCTGGCAACTAGCGGTGGCCGGTGAGAAACGAAAATGTGCAGAGAGGATTTGCTTCGTAATCTCTCGTTAAATTCTCAATCTCAGAGTGAGAGATTCTGATATTCCAAATTACAAATTGCAAAATCATTCAAGAATAAGAAAAGTAATCAGAACAATACCAGTGAAATCAACACAATCAAAATCAAATATCAAAATATAAAAACGTTATTATTATTACAATCCACGGATACAAATAACGCATTCAATTCACATGAATCTGAACTGAAAAGAGAGCCAATGATCAAAATTAAAAGAGAATAATAATAATAATAATTATAGAACAAGTAACTTTACCGGAAAATTTTCGTGGTTTTGATTTGAATGAGTCTAAGCCTTAGAATCCTCTCCGACAACCTCGCCGGCCAACCGTCTTGAGAAGTCGGCGGTCGCGTCTGTAATTGAAACCACTACCGCTGCAATTCAATGTTGAGCGCAATTATGACTCTCATTCATTTTTATACCCAGAAGTAAAATCATAATTTGTCATTTTTTGTTTTTGGTAGGAAGTTTTTCAATTAAAAATTCTAGAAGTAAAAAGTTTATGTTTTATTTTAATTACAAATTAGTAATAATTAATTTACTCAATACTTTTTCCAATATAAATTTTACTTTTAGATTCTTTTAACGTGTATCTGACACATTAACTTTATCCATATTTTATTACTCTATTTATATTTAACTTATTTGAAGAAAATTATGTTAAAGTAATAGATTTAATAGATACTTTTCCAACTATATCTTTAATAAAATAAATAATTTAATTGAAATATAAAAAAAAATTTAAGTTTGATTTTTATTTTAATTATTCATAAAATAATGCAAATAGATAATAATTATAAATTGATAGAAAATATTTTATTTTTTTAATATTTTATAATAATTAATCTCTAAAATTAATGAGAAAATAGGAAACTTAAGGAGCAACATATTATATTTAACTGAGAACATGTAGTTTGTAAAATCATTTTTACAATTAATTATGGACCGTTTGTTTTAACTTTTAAAAAATAAAGTTCTTTTATAATTTTAAGAGCGAATTTTGTAAAACTGTGTTTTAAAAATATTACAAGTTTTTTTATATTTATTTTTTCTGAATTATAAGACTAATTTTAACGTTGTATAACATAAATATGATTTTAAAAATAATTTTTAAAAAGAAAAAAATGTATTGATAATATAAAATATTTTACACTGTCAACTAATCACAACTATATATCAGAACAAAAATATTTTTTTATTTTTAAAATACTAATATTACATGACAATTATACGCGCTTTGATTGATTACATGTGTAAAACTGTCTTACATTCACAATGCACTACCTTTAAACTTTTTTTTAAAAAGTAGTATCTTAAAAGTGATTTTTATGAAAAATTATTTGAAATAACTTTAAAATTAAGTGATTTTTAAAAAATGTGATATCAAAAAAAAATCGATGAAAGATCTAAAATAACTATTTAACCCAAATTCTCATTTGAAAATTTTATAAAAAGTTTCTTTGTAAATCTTTTTTACATAAAATTGTATTATATTATAAAAATTATTATAAAAAAACAAAAACAAATGAGAGTGATTTTAAACGAGAGATGAGAGTAACAAACAATAACTATTAGATCAAATTAATAAGAGATATAAAATTCAAGTTAACAAGAAAGATAAATTAATAGTCACATTAATAAGTAAATTTAATCATGATCTAATGGGTGTTGTTTGTTCCTCTCATCTCTCATTTAAAATCACTCTCATTTGATATGTTATATATATATATATATATATATATATATATATATATATATATATATATATATATATATATATATATATATATATATATATATATATATATATATATATATATATATATATATATATATATATATATATATATATATATATATATATATATATATATATATATATATATATATATATATATAATATTTTAATTTTTATAAAAAAATAATATCATGTCCCCACTAATTAATATTATTTTTGGATCCGTCTTTGTCTCGCTGTATCATAACTAATTGTTTTATCAAACTTCTCATATATTCTTTGCCCACATGATAAACGGGGTCTTTTCAAGTAGATTTAACACCATTTGTCCAAGATCTATCCATTTACATTAATTCTATTTCTGAGAAACATTTTCTAATTGACTCGACGTGTGGTCTATCTTATAATTTTAAGGTAACTTTTTTATCCGATAATTTAATGAGAAAATAAGATAGGTAAGTGAGCTAACATATATTTAAAAAAATAGAACATGCAGGGTAACATAATTTTATACTAATATTCAACGAGGGACATGTTGTGAAATTTCTTTTATAGTTTGTTATATAACATGATATAATAATTCCTTATTAAAACAAATTATAAAACTATCCATTAAATCCATTAAACTCGTATTAGAACGATTGAAATAACATGAAAGAATAGAAGCTATTAAATATTGTTAATACATGGCCATTAAACTTTAATTTAATTGCAAACATTTTAATGAATATATAAGAAATGCATTTCCATACATACTTTAGAATCAAATGTAGAGATATTTATTAATTTAGTTGAATTAACATAACATTTTATTAATATTTTATTTATTTCTTTAAATATTAAATATTCATTGTATGTTTTTCTTTAATACTTAAGAAATATTGGTTGAAATTATTTTTTCTAATACATTTCAATATTCCTAGTAATAGTTACTTTTTAATCTAATATTAAGTGTCAAATTTGGGTTTTGTATGTTTTTAAAAAGTGATTAATTAAATAAATTTTAAAACAAAATTTTATTATTTATAAAGTATCATATTATTTATTGAAGTTAATCAAATAGTTAAATAAAGTGAAATTTGAATCGCTCTTCTCTTCGAACAGAAGCAACTCTGTAGGGAGGAGAGCCTGCCGATCGAGCGAAGGGATCCATACGGCTTTCAGGGGAAGCTGTAACACCTGAGGTGAAAGAGGACGGTGGTTACATGTAACACCCGTGGGCAAGGGAGTGGTTGTCGGTGTCATGAGGCATGACAATGGGACACTCCTAGCAGCTTCTAGGGGAAAACCGAATTCACATCCGAATGAGAGGGATCCTGAGGCTATGCAGGTATGGGACTGCATGGTTGAATGAAGACTTATAAGGATTAATTGGTACTACCTATACCAACAAGATGCATCTTCTTTTCGGTAGCCCGTTCATAAGAACTTCACAGTTAAGCGTGCTTGACTTGGAGCAATTCTGGGATGGGTGACCTTCTGGGAAGTTTCTCGGAAAGCATGTGAGTGAGGAAAAAGCATGCTGAAAAGACCCGTGTTGGTTTGTGGGGTCAGTCGGTAATCCTAAAAAGCAAGTTACAAATGGTATCAGAGGCATACCTCTCCCAGTACGATGTGGTTCGGAGACGAACCAAGCGGAAGCTGGTGGGCATATAACACCTGAGGTGAAAGAGGATGGTGGCTACCTATACCTCGGAGACGAACCAAGCGGAAGCTGGTGGGCATATAACACCTGAGGTGAAAGAGGATGGTGGCTACCTATACCAACAAGATGCATCTTCTTTTCGGTAGCCCGTTCATAAGAACTCCACAGTTAAGCATGCTGAAAAGACCCGTGTTGGTTTGTGGGGTCAGTCGGTAATCCTAAAAAGCAATATGGGGCGTTACAGAAGCTGCTTTTAATAGTTCATAAATCATTAGTTCCAAAATAAATATCAAAAATAAATTAAAAACATGTAGCTAGGGGATACCCCATGCAAACAAGAGGGGACAACTTTTTTGAAATTTGAAAAATGTTTTTACTATGATTCAGAGAGAAATTGGTGGGAAAGGTTGAGCATTTGCGAGGGGGTAGCCCCTCACCACGTCACGGTGTACAATTTGCGAGGGGCATCCCCTCACAAATGATGCTACTTTGGTCAAATCCGTCTGAAAAGGTGTTTATTCCTCTGCCAAGTTGTTTGCCACACGCCAACGGTGGCTAGGGGCAACCCCTCGCAAATACCACATTAAATAATTGCGTGGAGGCCCCCCTCGCAAAATGCACTATTAAATACCCAACCAATTTCCAAACGTATCAGCATTAAGTTTACATTTTCTTCTCTTTCTTCTCCATTTCATCTTCTTAATTTATCTTCTCCGACTTTTCTTCAATCCTTCCATATTCTACCCATTTTGATCCTTAGAAGTGAGTTGTTTTATTTTTATTTTTTTAATATTATTTTCGTATTTATGATTTATTGTATTGTTTAGATTGATTAATTAATATTTTTTTATTTGTTGTGTTGCACTGTCGATGATATATAAAGCAATCTAAGTAAAGAGGAATTACAAATTTGGAGAACATCTAAAGATACACAACTTCTGTTTTTTTTTAAGATGTTATATATATTTTGATTTTGAAATCTATGTTGATGCATGTTGGTGGCTGTTGAAAAAATTTGTCTGTTGATTGGTGTTATAAAAAATTTGTAAAGAAAATATGT